TGATTGATATGGATTGCGCAACCCGCAACACCCAGCGAACGCAAAATGTCCTCCCAAAATGTTGCGACTGCAACATTCCGGTGTTTGCCGGAGAAGCAAAATGACAGCATATCCACGTTGATGGATGTAGCCGTCAATTTTTTTTGCGCTTCGGCCTCCTTGATGGCGTCACTCAGCAGCTTCAAACTGTTCGCGAACTGCAGCTCACTTCGGTCTATGCCTTGCATTGCTGAGATGCGAATGCGTGGTCCGGCATCGAACCCATAGACGAGCCCGTTGTTGTAGTGTCTTTCCTCCACATGTTGGCTAACCAGGGCCCAGCGCTGGAACTTTTGGTGATGAATTTGGGATCTTGGCACGTTCGCTGGCTGCACCATCTCCCCTGACGACTGCACAATCTGAGAAGGCAGACCCGAATTGCTGCTGGAATTGGCAATGTCAGCCTGGCCCATGACTTGGGCAAGCAGCCCAAGCATACAGAGCAGAAGGGCCAGCCATTGAAGTTCCACTGCAGGTTAAGGCGAAAGCGATGCCCCAAGTGACGCACCACCCCCGGTGAGGCAGCTGGACGCTCCTTTACCGATCAGCGGTCCCATAGTGATTGATTCCCACTCTGCTGCTGCCCCTTCTTGCTTTGCAGGTGGCCTTGGCGCCGGGCGTTGCGGTGGAGGTCCTTGCCCCCCCCCAGTACCTTCGGCTTGCTGATAAGCAGAGGCATTGTCAGCCGCTGGGGCTGCCGGGCCAGCGGCCGTGGACGGAGGCTCAGGCTCCTCCGTGTGCATGTTCTCAGCCACTCAAACTCCTCTTCTATTAAAGACTTCTGGCTGTTCTCAATCTCCGCTTTCAATTCGTCCGTGGCCGCCAACTTTTCCTGGCAGGGTGGCAGGTGGCAAAAATCACGCACAACAAGTTCATGTTTGGTGAACGTGAACAAATAGAAAACAACTGAAAGAAGCATGGCTGAGAATAAAAAACCCTGTCCTCCAGGAAGCTTCTCGACGGGCTTGTCGTCGTCGTCTTGTTTGCCACGAACATTCGGAAAAACATCGTGTGCAGTCGGAACGGATCGTGGCAAGCCTTGCGGGCCTTGCAGTTCCGGCCATTGTAAGGGATGACACATTGTTTTTTCCCCGTGCAAGCGCTGCCTCATCAGGCAGCCGTCAAATTTCACCGTGAAGTACAGGATCGGCTTGCTGGCTTGCGTCGCTTCATCAAACTGAAGTCCTGCTTGGATTTCGCATCCTCGAGCAAGCCGGCATCCTCCTGGTAGTCCCTTGTAAACAAAGGCCAAGTGACTTGGAGACACCAATCCAGCCCAAAATCGTGATGTTGCCGCTGCGTAATCAGACTCAGCAACCGATCATTTTTGGGAGTGTGCCCAGTGCGTTTCGCATTTGCTGGGGCATTGGGATCACGGCGCTTGGCTGTCCAATGCCCATGTCGCTGCTGATAACCCAACACTTCCCCTTGACGTTGATGAACTTGTTTATCTGGACCGGCCTTATGAGTGGACGCAGCCGACTGCCACTGCTAAGGCTGCCAGGACTGCCAGGACTGCCAGGCCTGCCAGGACCACCACTTTAAGGATGCCGGGGCAGAATAGTATCGCCATGCATCCATGGCTGAAGAGACTGCAGCGCAACTCAACCTCCTTCCTGTCCGGCTGGGTCGTCACTGGCTGGCTAGTTTTGGTTTGTTGGGTTAATGGATTGAACCACTGCATCGTAATTTGCATGTTGCCTTGCATCATGATTGGCATGTTTTATCAAATGGCTATGGACCTTGAGCTGCAAAACTTGCAAGCTGGCAGGCTTCATGACACGCTGTCAGTTGGCCTCTGTAAGATCCTTACAACATGGCCATGCGCAGTCGGGACAAGTGAGCAAAGTGACCGCTAAGCAATGTCTTTCAAATCATGACTGATCAACAAAGCGCTCAATCGATCACATGCTAGTAACTGCAAGTCTGAAGAGGTGGGGAAAAATGAGGCTTACTATGAGGAACTGTTGGCGTGTTTGGAAATGGCTGTGCGCATCAGCTGCCCAGCGCTTATTTTTCTCTGGCTTTGCGGGTTTGTCGGAGGCTGTGCCCCGATTCCTAGGAAACACTGCCAGGGCACAGACTTCTGGGCAAGAAACCCAGCACAGTGCCTCAGAGTCTTCTTATTGTTGTCTTCATTCAAACTTCATCCGCATTGGTCATTGCCCCACTGCCACCACTGTCAGTGACGGCGTCATCAGTCGTTGACGCCGTACCAGTCTCCCAACCTTTATTGGTCGACCAAGACTTGTCCTTGCCCTTGGCCGGCATTGCCTTGCTCTTGCCCGTCGTCACGCCCGCTGCAGGGTCAATAAAGACTGCAAGAAACTCAGAAACTGTGTCAGTTGCAAACATGTTTGCCAAAAAGTGGAAAGCTTGGCAAGTTTACGGTGGACAGCTAAACGCACATGCAAGCTGCAAGTGAAGCTCCTCAATGCCGTTGTGAGCCAACCAGGAGTTTGACCACTCGTGCCAGCAGAACCTTAGTTACGTGGCGCCATGGCTCGCAAACCCAGTTTAACACAATGGCAAACATCAACAATTCTGCAGCTCAAACACTTGGGGTCCCGGCAACAATCCAGGGCGCCAGCTCCCGGCAACCAATTTCTTCAGGGCGCCGGGTCCAGGCGCTTCAAAGCAGAGCTGTATGAGCACGTGGCGTGGACAGTGCAGTCTCTAAGCTATTGCTCGTTAGCGCACTACGACCAGAATGTCTGGGCAAGGAGCGGAATCTGGAGCCACACTGAGGGGCGGCAGATACGGACTGGATGGAGATCTGCAACTGGCAATCGCATCCTGCAGTACTTCAATCCGTTTGTGGAATGGAATCCACATAACTGGGCCACGCAAGTTTTTTGAGGAGTGTGAGGTGTTTGGCACTCCAATTGCAGCAAGTGCGTGGGCAAGTGCATCATGAAGGAAGCGGTGACATCCGACACGATGGTGGTGTGGTTCACTAAAAAAACCCTACGACCGCTGAGGAGCAGGCGAAGATACTGGCCAGGGACGCATGTTCCAAAAGGAGATTGACTGCTGTGAGCAGCATCGACGGGTCATGAAGATGATCAGGAATTGAAAGGTGCCGGGCTTGGAGCTGCCTACGGAAGGATGCTCCCGTCAGGCGATGGGTCGTGAAGGAGCACGCGCTGCGTGCTGGGGCCCAGTTCTTCTGTCAGGGAGGCAAAGGTCCCGCCAGGCCAAAGTGGACTACCCTAAGGACAAGGTCAGTTTGCCGTTTCTCCCGATCTCCGAAATCAACCGTTGCAAGTAAGTTAGCCCCACTCACCCCCGTGGTGACGGCGATTTGCGGGACACCGCAGCGGCCCGATCTGAGCCCACGGCACCAAGTAGTCCTGGGGGGGGCATCCACAATTATGTGGGCACGCCATACCCGAAACGTCCAGGGCGTACGTGGCACCCCGTGGTTCAAGGACTTCGGCTAAGCCAGCGGAGGCTACATCCCATCACATGTTCGTCATCAATCATGTGCTGGCAGGAGAGCCGTTCATCTATGCGGTCATCAGGAACAAGGCGCTCCTGGGAGGCTGTCCAAGGATCAGGAGTGGGCTAAGGTTCACGAAACTGCGTCGATCACCTGTTGGAGGAGAAAGAGACTTCGGGCAGGTTTGGTGAAAAGTGCCTGTGCGGATCATCCTCGACCCAGGTTGCGGGTATCCTTTTCCCTGTTGGTTTGGTCTGTGGTTGTTTGGTCACTTGTGTGTTGGAACCCTGATCTTTGGATTGGATACTGTTTTGGGGTCTTTCTTTTTGTGGCTTGTTTACCCATCTAACCTTTCGCCTGGGCACAGGCTCGTGCCCCGAATCACATTCTCTTCATCTTTTTCTGTCTCTATCTCTTTGTCTTTCTCTTCTGCGCGTCCTCTTTTTCCAGCTACCTACCTACTTATGCATCCATCGAAAAGTCCCTCTATCCATTTATACTGCCTTATCATATGTTATTCGATCTCATCTTCGCTTTTCTCACCCGTCTGTCGTATGCTCTCTTTACCCACCTATCTCTGTCTACTTCTCTCCAACTTTTTTTTCTCTCTCTCTCTCTCTCTCTCTCTCTTTCTGTCCCTCCATCGCCCTATCTCGCTATGCATATCTGTCTTCATTTATCTGTCTATCTATCTCTCTTACATGGTCTTAAGCATATCTTGTATTAGCTTATCGGGTCCCCTGCCACCTGTCTTTTCTGTCTATCTGTATCTATCCATCTACCCACCTCTCTCGCTCTCTCTCTCTCTCTCTCTCTCTCTCTCTCTCTCTCTCTCTCTCTCTCTCTCTCTCTCTCTCTCTCTCTCTCTCTCTCTCTCTCTCTCTCTCCATGTATCCGTATGTCTGTGCGCCTGCCACCAAATCTGCGCCTGACCTTGCGAAAGTGCTGCGCATACGAGTTCTGTACTTGACGCGCCTGCCACGAAATCTGTACCTGACCTTGCGGTGCTGCGCCTGGCGTGAAATCTGTACCTGCGCCGGCTAAGCAGGAAAATGACATCCTAAAACCTGATCTGAAATGAGATTTCTAGTTCAACCTCACAACGGACATCATATTTAAGTAACCTTTGAAACTAGAGATTCCAGTGAAGTTCTCGGCTCATTCTTACTATAGTTATTGTTCTTACTTCTACAATCTTATCTGGACAATTTAGGAATTCGCGTTGGAAGCGGACACCTTTCTTTCCGCTTGGTCTAATGAACTCCACAGTTAAACTGGACATCCTATTTGCTTCCCCCCTTGGAATCCAGAAACTCTACTAAAACTCTGTCCTTTGAAACAAATTTTTCATGGGATTTTGAAATTAGAAAAGAATATCCTTTGTTAAATTCAGTTTGCATTCTAAGTAGACCTTTGGTCAACTTCTTCTGGGAAAGGGGCCATCTACGTGATTTTCAAACATAATTTAGTACAGGAAGACACAAATGAATTTCTGAAGTTGGATGCCAAGCCTTGCAAGGCTCCAGAGGCATGCTGTGTGGCGAGTGCCCCCTTGGCTGGGCAAGAGACGACTACCCAGACTATTGCCAGACTTGCCCTGACGGTGCAGCCAGTGTTCTCACAGCCGCGCCCTTACTGCCCTGTTGTTTGGTGCAATGGGTGTGACACCAAGGGTCAGGCCCCTTCAAGGTTCCTCTGGTTAGCAATGAGGGCACCGAGTTCGGACTTGGCTCAAGCCAGGTGCCATCAGAGCGAAAAGGTCAACCCATTGTACTGCCATTCTTACAACATAAGCCGGGAGCAGGCACTTGCCACTGATTAGTCATCTTCCTTTTGATGCCTGCTCGCAGTGACACAGTTGTATGAAAGAGTGGAAATTGACGGCGGCGTCAAAGAGTCTTGCAAGGACAACTGGCGCTTTTTCCTTCGCCATTTGATTTCGATACAGCTGTCGACATCCCTTTCATTGTGACTGCTGCCTGACGCCAGTTGGGCATCCTCTCCGACATTGTTCAAAAGACCTCCTTGAACTTTGTCGTGGCGGTGATGGCCGCCAACTCTGCCGTGAAGGGTGGCTCGAAGCTGCACACGAGCATGATCCGCAGCTCGGTGGAAGCCATCAGACATGATTTCGCACTAGTCAAGCAAGTATTCCAATGCAAGCCAAGGCATTGGCACGCAGTGGCTAGCTGCTTGTTGCTCGCCTGACATTGCGCAGGCAGGGCTGGCATTGAAACAGTTTGTGCTGAGGCTCTGTGCTCACCGAGTTCAACCTGGATCGTTTACCTGGCTTCGGCTGGTCTCAGGAGCAGGAAAAGTTGGAGCAGCTGCAATCCTGTGCGGACTCAAATGTCACAGACTGCGAAATCGGCGAGGCGCGCTCCTTAGATGCTGTCGCACTGCCTCTTTCCCTCCCCGTGTCAGGCGAGCAAGTTTCCTTGGCCAAAGGAGGTCACGGACGCAATGGATAGCGTATTCAAGTTCATGGGCCTGATGTCCGCTTCTGAGCCGTGGCCGTTTTGGGCCGGTTGCAGTGTGCGCACCTGGCACGTGACCAGCCTTGCCCAGGCCAAAGTTAGCCACTGTGGACTTTGCAGCGAAGTGTCACGCAGAGGTGCTTTTGCCTGGAAACATTTATGCGTCTCCTGGCAGCGTCAGCGTTCTATTTGCTTCGTCCAGTGCTTGCTGAACATCACCTAAACTTGGAAACATGACCTGTACTGCCAAGGAAGATGGTGGCCCCAGGCATGTACTTTGTCATCAGCCCGCTCCTGGCTCTGATGGGCTGCTATGCAATTTGCGCCATAGTGGTGTATACTCTAATCCCACTGGCAAACAAGATTGGCTCCTCAATTTCATTTGGCAAGCTTTGGCCTTCTTGTCCCTTCTTGTCCCTTCTTGTCCCTTCTTGTCCCTTCTTGTCCCTTCTTGTCCCTTCTTGTCCCTTCTTGTCCCTTCTTGTCCCTTCTTGTCCCTTCTTGTCCCTTCTTGTCCCTTCTTGTCCCTTCTTGTCCCCTGACACTCTGGACACCTGGATGTCAACAAAGTCTAAAACTAGTGGAGCCATTGCGCATTTCAGGAGCCCTGAAATCCAACATGTTGCCTCCTTCCATGCTCCCATCTTCCAACAGGTTTTGTTCTCTGAATAGATCTTTCCAACTGGCAAGGCGTGGAATTCAACGACGTGGCCAAGAAGAAGCGGAAGCGTGCGCAAGCTGTCCGGAAGCTGAAGCCGGTGCTGGAGCCGAAGCTCGGCTCTTGGGGCTTGGCCTGGCCGGACCTCCAGGCGCGGGGAGAAGAATGCTTGGACTCTGGCAGATAGAGAGGGAGAGAGGGAGGGACAAGGCTACCTTGAGGCAAACGAAAGATAGGAAGGAAGGAAGGAAGGAAGGAAGGAAGGAAGGAAGGAAGGAAGGAAGGAAGGAAGGAAGGAAGGAAGGAAGGAAGGACAAAAGAAAGAAAGGAAGGAAGGAAGGACAAAAGAAAGAAAGGAAGGAAGGAAGAAAGAAAGAAAGAAAGAAAGGAATAAAAAAGAGAGAAAGAAAGAAAGGAGTAAAGAGAGAGCAAGAGAGAGAGCGAGAGAGAGAAAAAGAGAGATAGAGAGATAAAGAGCGAGAGAGAGAGGGGCGACAGATAACACATCAGGACTTTTTCCCAAACAGTGCGGCTACACTAAGGGTCAATCCGGTAAGGGTTCGCATCGTTCCCGCTGTCGTTTCGTGCGAGCCCACTTGCCTGCGAAGGCTCGCGGAAAAAGGGGGTGCCTTTCGAGGGCGCACTCTCACTGCCGTGCGAATCCGCAAGCCGATTGGCGCATGCCCTGCGGACATGTCGGAGAACTGTTCTCTTTGGCAAGACGAGCTAGCCCTTTGCGGGCTGGGGTGTGTTGGATCGCTCTTGCAGTCGAGCTGTGTTGGATTGCTGTCGCTGTGAAAGCGTGCAAATGTCTAACATCAAGGGTGCACACTCTGAGTGCTTTGGGTGCGTCGGATCGCTCTTGCAGTGGCGCGGTGTGAATTTTGAACAGGGAAAGAGATCCCTCAGCTACCTTTGGGCGTGTCCATTCGCCATCGCCGTGGCGCGGCGTCAGTGGCAAAATCGGGCGTGAGTCCTCTGCGGTTGGGTGTGTCGGATTGTTCTCGCCGTGGACTTGATGTGCTGGAGGTATCTAGCATCGAAAGCAAGCCCTCTGGCTGTGTTGGTTGTTCTTACCAGGGCGCAGTGCATTGAAGCGGAAATCCTCTGTATAGTTCGCAAGTGATCTTGTACACGGCCTCAAGAGCTGTTGCGCCAGCAGGGGATCATGCAGAAGCACCTAGCATGGACTTGTTGTAGAGCTCTTGTAACTAGATCTTGTCGAGGGTGTATATCCAGATCCTCCAGGGGACGTTTTGCAGATTCTTGCTAGAGGTCCTGCAAGGAGATCTTGCGCAGGACCTTATCAGTAGATTTTTTTGAGATCCCCTCGGAAGAGATTTTGTATAGGGCCTGATGCGTGTTGCACATGACCTTCCAGCAAGAGAGTTTGCGCAGGACGTACCGTTGAGATTTTATAACGCCTTTGCAAACTGAGAGCCCTGCCACAGGTGAGGGTCCAACTTCGGCAATGCAGGACCCTTTGCGTAAGTTGAATGTTAGTACAGTAAGAGCTGTTGCACATGATCTTCCAACAAGACAACTTGCACTGGACCTACTACCATGGACCTTGTCTGGAAATCTTGCAAACTGATTTTGTAGATTCGAGACCTCCTTGAGGCTGTCTTGTTTGAGATCCTGCGGAGAGATCTTGCACAGGCCCCGGTGAGTTGTTCCTTCTAAAGATATCCTTGGGAAAAATATATTGCGCATGACGTTTATCCATACATACAATTACATAGGTATGTATATATATATATAGATATCCTCTTTAAGGACTTCTCTCGGAATACCTCCTCCTCTTCGCGCTGTGTGGGATCCCTTGCGGGTGTATTTTTATATAATAGACTCCTGGAGGGTGCTCAACGAATTATTGATCATTGCCAGGCATCTGGGCTCCTGGATACTACCGGCACTTGGAGCTTGGAGCATGCCGCCATGGAACCAGATGCCTTCATTTCAGGCACTGCCGTTTGATCTATCAAGTTTTCTGGTCCAGCAGCTCTGCGAAGGCACCATGGCATTTTGCAGCCAATTGGCCCGGAAGATGTGTGGGGCGCCCGGCGAAATGCGTGGAGATGCGAGCCAAAAAGTTTGGCATTGTTTGCGTGCTGCCGACATGGTTAGATGGGTTCACTGAATTCGAGGCTTGCATAAGGTGCAGAATGAGCCTCAGGCTGTCCCTGGCTGAGCTGATAAGGGGCGTCGGCTTGCCGGCAGCTTTGTGCCGAGCTGAGGTTGCTTTATGCGCAGAAGTTCAACTTAATTTGGATGATTTGTGTGTCAACCCTTCGCTTTTGATGCGGGACATCGGCGAAGAGAGTTGCTCGACAAGGGCGGCAAACAAGGCCGTGCCGCTGCACGCGGTTTGTGATTGCGGGCCTTTGTGCATCCTTGCCGTTGGCTCGCCAGTTCAATGTCCAAACTAGCTTTCGGGGTTCGTAGGGCTTAGGCTTAGAGTTTGGACTTACAGTTCAGGTTTAGGTTTTTAGGGTTTGCTTCAGGTTTTAGGTGGTTTAGGCTTCAGGCTTGGTTGAGGTTTTGGGTTGTAGCCTTAGGGTTTAGGGAGGGGTGTTGGGCGGGTGGATGGCCCATCAGGGGAGAATCGTTGGGTCGGCGGGCCGACGTGAGCATTGGCCGCAACATTTTGCATTTCACAACCGGATCTGAGGTTTGCAGGATGCTGTGATTCATCAGCGCCTCGTCTCGTGCTGAAACTGCAATCCTTGCCCCACAGCTGCTTTTCATGTAGACGTCATGTTCTGCTGGCCTGCTGAGGATGAGCCCGAGCATGGTCGAAACATTCGCGCCTTGGAAGGCATGTGTTGTGCAGGTCCTAGGTGGTAGGGCCTGCACAGCGCTTGATGAGTATTTTTGGTTGATCCACCAAAGTAATATTTGCTTGCAAAGACACATTTGCGTTTGATATCCTCTTGTTGCTTTTGTAGTGAAAGAGGTAGTGCACTTCGCATAATATTTTGAGACTGGAAAGTTGCGACTTTCAAGCCGCAGCTGCAGAAGTGCCGGTTCTTGGCAAGTAACTAGGAGGGCACCTATTTGCAAAAGATAGTTTTCTCGTGAAGATGGCCTCGCGAAGGCCGTAATTTTAGGTTGAAGGAGTTTTGGGATGGGAAGTACAGGCACTGCGCTGTGGCCTGGCATTGCTTCCGGACTTGCAAGCCCGAGTGAGAACCTCTCTTTGGGGAGTTTTAGGGCTTGAGCGTGAAGGCAAAATACAGATAGTTTAAAGGTTCAGTCAGGTGCTTCGAGCCCTCGCCTGGGACATGCGGAAGAAGTTTCGGGAGAGTGCAGAGAACCATGGCCTGGATGTGGAAGAAGTGGTGCTTGCGGCAACCTGGCTTCACTTGGAGAGCTTGAGGGACACTTGGAAGCGATGCTGAAGCGCGAGCCGAAACATCCGGTTGCATTGGCCATGTGGCCACGTGGTGTGGAGCTCAGTCGAACTCGGCGGGGTTCTTGGCAGGTGGCTGCAGCGCACGACAGTCCTGAGGAGCTGCGCAGGGCAGCGGTGCCTCGGCTTTTGTTTCGCAGGCCGCTGGTGGCTTCCAGCGTCGTAGCCGCGTAGCCCGGGTCCGGCCTGCCTCACGCGAGGTGGACAGTAGAAGCTTTCTCCAGGAGATTGAGGTGGAGTGCCAAGAGCTGAGGCCGGGCAAAGGTAGGGGTTTGCCAACGCTGTGCCGCTGCCAGGCAGAGGAAGGCCGAGAGGACATTGGAGGTTGCGATTGCAACCGGGACAGAGGCTGAAGAGGAGCAAGAGTTTAGAGGCATTGACCTGGTGCCTGGGCCAAGGATTTTAGCAGACCAGGCTTGCCAAGGCAAACATGTCCAGACAGACCTGCCGGTCCAGCGTCATTTCCGGCGACTATTTTCGTGCCACAACGCAAACAAACTGGAGGTTCCAGCCATAAGCTTGTATGTCGTTTAGGGTGAATTCTTCTCATACCAGGCACTGCTTCCGCAGCCCCTTTGCACATGATTGCCGTATGCCCAAATCGAGGAATCTTTGAACTTCGGTTTGTTCACCTCCTTCCCGCGACCATTCCACCTGCTCATGCAGTGCATTCCAGTCTTCTGGGTCACACTGCTGGCCATGCCGCTGTGATGCATACTCTGGGCAGGTTTCTTTGGGCGTTGAAAGGCCAAGGCTAAAGCGGTTCAAGGCTTGGCCGCCTGTTTGTCTTGTCCTGCCACTCCTGTCTCAGTGCTTTTCATTGTTGGTTGCTTGCTCAACGTTGGTAGGTATCCTCCGTGTGATTTGTGATGTTCTGAGGTGGCCTGACCTCCTGTCCAACTTTCTAAAGATGATTTGGTGCAAGCCTGTCTCAGAGGACAATGCCCAGGGCTTTACCATTGTGAAGCAGCGCATGCTTCCAAGCCCTGACGTGGTGTGCTGGAGTGCGGACCACTTCTTTCTGGCGCTGCTGGCGTGCATTGGCCTGGGCATTTGGTGTGCCGGGGTGCCCGTGCTCTTGTTCTTGCGGCTGTGGAGGCTGAAGGACCGGCAGAGCCCGGAGAACTTCAGGAAGTACGGGTACTTCATCCAAGGCTACGAGCCCCAGTTCTGGTGGTGGGACATCCTCGTGAAGCGCTTTGACATTGGATTGATGAACATTGTCACCTACACATCAATCGCGACAGATGAGAAGGCAAAGCTCCTGCTCTTCCCAATTATCTCGGGATTTCAGCTTGGCCTGTGTGCCTGGTGCCAGCCCTTCACGAACACACAGGCCGAGATTCTGGACTTTCTGGAGATGTGCCTACTCAGCTTTCGCTTCACCTTGTTCAGCATGATTGCCATCATGCTGATTTTCAACCCCTCTGAAGCTGCAACCTGGATATTGGCCTCACTCCTTGCATTAATGCTGGCATGCGTTTGCGGCTACTTTGCCGTGCACGTGGTGGCCCAATTCCTCCGGGGGTCTGCTGCGGACATGATGGAAAGCGATGAGGAGCTGGACGAGGACGCAGCAAGGGAAAAAAAGAAGATGAGGGCTGCTCAAGCGAGGAAGCAGAATGTGCTTGTTCGTTTGGCAGGCGGGGAGCTTGCCCGTACGGTGCAAGCATGTGTTGCTGCTTGCTGCTTTTTGTGTGGCACGAAGCTTTCAGCCCTGTGACGGGCCCCGTGTCAGGGAAGATGCAGAAGCTGCTGGTGCATCGGCTGCTGCCTTTATTCCAGGAGACTGATGAGGAGAAGCTCTTCCTGGAGCCGCGGCCTCAAGACCTTGACCATAGCTTTTATTGTAGCCATGGCCATGCCACATGTTTGGAAGAACGAGAACCAATTGAAAGCAAGGCCTTAGGATGCCAACCACCCTGAGGTGGTCTGCAACCGGTGACAAGGTGTCGTTGGTGAGTGCTGCCACCATTAAAAATGCGAAGCCTTCAAGCAAGCGCGGCGGCCTACGCTGGATGGCGCCCTGGCATAGAATTGTTAGCGGCAAAATGCCTTGTGCGTGCCTCACCAACATATCAACCTTGCATGCGTCCTTTACCACTTTGTTTGCAGTTCTTGGTGGCTTGGGTGAGGTGGATTCGACTCCACGGGCTGATTACACATGCACGTGGGGATTGGAGATGTAAGTTTTACATGCGGCGATTCCAGTTGGTTGCAGGCTGAGAGGTGAGTGATGTAGCGTTGTTTGCACCGAAGGGGTGATCCGACGAAAGCGCCGAGTGCGAGTGAAGACGTGTGGGTGCCAAGGTGTCAGGGCTCAAATCGGCCAGAGCCACAGTCCTGCGTTTTGGCTCCGGAGTTCAGCGCCAAGTCTTGGTCAAGGCCTGGGATCCTGTTTTGAGCATTTGTGTTGCTTTCGTGGGCTTCATGCTGTGGCTTTGGTGTTGGAAGTGGCTGTACTTTTCTGCAAAGCAGCTGTCATTTGTTTTGGGTACATGTCGTCAGGTCATGGGCGCACATGCGCGCACGCACACCCACACCCATATCAACCTTTTTATCACGAACCCGCCTGCAGAAAGCAACGCGCAAAACAACGTGCCGCTACAAGTCTACACAGCTGATATTTGACTGCTTTTGGATCCGGCTCTGCAGGGAGAAGCTACGCACCTCCTGTATAATCCAATGTGACATGTATGAGCCGGCCTTTGGATCACCCAGCACTCCACCACTAACGTAAAGGCGCAGCGGAAGCTTAGCGAGCCCACGCAAACAAGACACCATGAAGACACAAGGCCTTAGGATGCTCCAAGACAGGCAAAGATTACACACTTCGTGCAAGGGACTCACAGAGCTCAATCTCCCCGGCAGCAAGGGCCGGAAGTGCGTGCCGCAAACCGCCCCAATTCTGCAGTTCCATCTTTGGACCCAGAAGTAAAAGTCGGAAATCAAGCTGAGGGCCGCAATTGCTGTCCATATCATTCACCACACCGATAACAACTGCGCCTGCATAGGTGTGCCCTCTAAAGAAGTGTCACGGACCTTGATGGCTGCCGAACATGTTTGGCGTGCGCTGCCCAACATGCCACAAGTGGTCCCAGTCTCCGCCGGTCCCCTTCCCTTGAGCTTTCCCCGCAAAAAGCTTGTTTTGGCCAACTTCAGCCGAGGCCTTGACGGAATTTGGCGGGCTTTGGATGGATGAATTTGACCAGGCTAGCATGCCAGTCGACGTTGTGCAAGTCCTTTGCGCATTGACAAGTACCTCCAGACTCGTGCCTTACAAGACGCCTTTGCCGGAAACTGGCGCCAAGTGGAAGCAGCAAGTGGACAACTTGCTGGAAGCCGAGCATCATGCCTTCTACGTGTCTTTGGATGACGTGCTTTCTACAACGCAGCGGCTGCATAAGCTTGGCACAGATGCTGTCATCCTAGTTCCTCGGCTGGAGATCTTGGGGTTTTGGGTTCTGACGTATTTCAAGCTCAAAGGTTCTCCAGCTTGAGTCGCCTGGATCCAGGTTGAGAAGGTGCAGGCCACCTTTCAGGCAAGGAAAAAACGACAGATGGAGGCTGAGGAAGCAGCGAAAAGGCAGCGATTGGCAGAGGAGAGCTGTGCGTTTTATGCTTGCATGCGTGCGTGCATCTGAGAGGAAGCTCAAGCGGCCTACATTGAAGGCTTTGGTTCTCGCTTGCTCTTTGTTTTGCGCACCCGCGTTCCCATCTAGTCTTGAGAAGCCTTTTTCCTCCGGCGAGGCCAGGAGAGCAGATCTCTAGAGGCCGAAACCCTTGTGAAAGCCGCGCTGGCTGCTTGTGAGTTGTGTCAGCATGACAGGAAGCTGCGCTTGCGCTTGCGAACGAGGCAGCCTAGGGTTGGGCTTGGGAGGAGCCTTGGGGTTGTCATTGTTGGAAGCTCGCCGCATTTTTCCAGTGCAGGCGGAGCCTGTAAAGGTGATGAAAGAGATGGCAGCTTGGCGGCGCATGGGCTTGCTTTGCTTGCCTTTTGCACAAGGTCACGTTGCATTGCAGCAAGGCGGTGCAGACCCTCGTCAAGTCAGCAAGCAGACTCAAGCCTTTGCCTTTAGCGGCAGGTTGGGTGCTGGAGTTTGTTTCCGAGGGTTGTTAGCCGATTTGGAGTGGTTAGACTTTGCAAGAGCTCATGCATGGTGCCACGTCTGGGTCCTGCTGCACCACCGCTCCTGCTCTGCAGGTGATCTGTCAGATCTTCAAGGGCAGGCACATGCGGAACACCCAGATCGTTGCATCTGTGTGAGTGCATTCACCAAGTCGAGGTATGTCTATGCCTGTTTTCACTGTCATGCTAGGGCAACTTGATACTCTGCTGCCTTTGCTTCTAGCCCTGTGGCCGTCAAAAAGCTAGCATTGAGCTACTCATGCCACCAAATCCCACACTTATCGATTTATCCTAGCTGTCTTTCCACTGCACGCCAGGATCAATCGACGACTCTTCTTTGAGGCGGCTCGGGGTAATTGCTGTTTCTTTGCCGCTAAGGTAGGAAGGCTGAGGACAGGGACTTTTTCGATTCTCATCCTCAGCCAATTTGTTTCAAATCAACTTTCTCATTTGTATTGACTGAGCTGCGCCGGTGGCAACATTTTCTAGTCTTTGCTCCAGACAGCTAATGACAAGCTGCTTGGGCTGAACTTCCAGCCACAGAGTGGACAGTTTGCAATCGTATCAGCGGAGAGCTGATTTCGTTTCCTGAGGTATAAATCTCATCATGATCACACGGCCTAAGGCCCCAGTTTTATGGACAATGGCCCGTGTGGTGTGCGTGCCTGCTATGTCGTCACCAAGTCTCATATGTGCAGCACGTTTGTTTGACCTGGAGGTATTTTCCATCAGAGCTCTGTCAAGTGCACAGGCTTGCAACATTGTTTCTTCCCTCCATTTGAAAGCTCTCCAGCCAAAGGCGGGGCAGCAGAATTCAGGTGTTGTGAAGCTTGAAAGATACGTCAAAATGCAAGATTGCAGTCAACGGTGCATCAGGCTGTTCCTTGCGCAATGCTGTTCCTTGCGCAATGCTTGATGCCATTTGCTGAATTTGGTGCGGCAAGCGGCATAAGGGGCGCATCAGGCAAGCAAAATTCAACAGGCTGAGCAGCGCTCGCCACAAGCGGCTACAAACATATGGTAGCAGAAAGACCTGGAAGCATGGAAGGTAATTTGAAGAATAGCTTTGATGCCATGAGCCATGGCATGGGGTGTGTCCAGCGGGCTGGCAAAGTCTGTTTGCCTCCTGCTGCCAGCTTTTGTCATTTCGCAGTGCTCGCACCTCAATTACCGCAGACGCCCCCTGTGTCACAGCTTGGCGGTGGGGGGGGGGGTTGAGGATATGCCCCGTTCTGAGGTGGCGATGGGTACTTTGCTGAGAATGGTTCCTGTTTTGTTTGCTCAGCAGGGAGATTTACAGACTCGACGTCAACATGCGATCCATGTCCTCCAGGGAAATATATCTCTGATGACGGCACCGACTGGAAGCTGCATGCAGATCCATTGCTATGCTTTGAGTGCCCAGAGGGCCGTGCCTCCAACTTGTCAGCGACAAGTGAATGTGCTGTATGCGCACTAGGCAAGTTTTCAAGCTACACAGGTGCAACCGAATGCCAGGACTGTGCTCTTGGAGTGGCGCTATCGAATGGCTCTGTTGTGTGCGAGCCCTGCTTGCCAGGGCATATGCCAAGCACGGACCATGCAGCCTGCGAGCCGTGCACAGCTGGAAAGTTCGGCTTGAATGGCATGGGATGCAACTTCTGTAATTGGGGGGAGGTGTCTGCAGCAGCATCTGAGAGCTGCACGAGCTGCCCCGCAGGGACATATGTCAACGTAACCTTGCAGCAGTGCGTGGCATGCGGGCCAGGACAGTACTCCTGGTCTGGCGCGCTGGAATGCTTCTCTTGCTTTGGCGGGACCGCTGCGAGCAATGATAGTTCCGAATGCTACCCTTGTCCAGCAGGAAGATACTCCCTTGATGAAGCGACCGAGTGTCTGCCTTGTGCTGCAGGCACCTATTCTTTTCAATACTTTTCCCACTGCATGGATTGCTGGCCTAGCAGCATTTCGGCGCCTGGTTCTGGCAGCTGTGTTGGCTGTGATCCTGGATGGGTAGCAAATGATAATTCGTCCGAATGTGTTGCCTGTCAAGCAGGGAAGTATGCCTGGAGGGGTGATACTTATTGTTGGGACTGTTGGTATGGATCGTACTCGCCTGCCGCATCCTCAAATTGTTTCGATTGTCCTCCAGGGAGGCATGTCATACCAAGTCGCTCCGGATGCGTAGACTGTCCAGCCGGCAAGTATAGCGCATGGTCTGGCAATGAAGATTGTTATGACTGTGAGTATGTTATCACGGAGGACAGGACAGGGTGTAACCTTTGTCCACCTGGGCGTTACCTCACAGGCAATGAGACTAGAAACTGTACCGTCTGCGAGCCAGGTAGATATGGTGAAGGCTTTGGCAGCTCAGAGTGCCAAGGTTGCCCCAGAGGGAGGTATTCTAATGAGACTGAGCTAAGCATGGCAACACAATGTGCACCCTGCCCTGGCCTTGCCACCGAAACGTCCGGCTCCACAAGCCGTGATGATTGCATCCTGCCAGCTGCCAATCAGACGTTTGACTGCGCCAAGGGAAAGCCTTGCACAATTGAAGATTTTCAAGTCCAAGGTCTGCAAAGCAGCCAGGCTCTAGTCGTGAAAGTGGAGACATGTGAAGTCAAGGAAGGGTCTGGCGGCTACGGGTCTACGCTGCCCATCCCTACATCTGGCTATTCTGACGGCTTCAATGGGTATGTTGGAGCGGGTGGCTATGGCGCCTCTCCCGGCAGAAGGCTGCGAAGCTCTGGCTCTCCAGTTGGGTTCGAATCCATTTCGTCTACCGGCTCAAGCTCTTACAACTGGACCGAAACAGTCCAAGCAGAGGTAGAGGAGTATCGGGTGTGCTGGTGCAGTGGGGTGAGCAACACTTGCGACAGCTTTCCGCAGTTTCAGGTGGATGTTGGCACAATGACTGTCACAGGGCCCTTTCCATCACAGGCGTTCACATGTGTGATTGGCCGGGAATGCATCAGCCAGGGCCCGATTCAAGGGCTTGGCCTCCGTGGAGAGGACCAGCTGACACTGCGCATCGCTTGCCAGAGCTCTCGGGCATCTTGGCTGAGCGTGGCCCTGCAGGTCAATGTCCTCACAAGCAACACTTCGAGCGCCAATGAACTCTTCTTCGGCCAGACTGGCCTACTTTGGAGCCCACCGGGTTCCTACGAGGTGTGCTGGTGTTCAGCCACGGGAGAGGCATGTAGCAGTATGCAGGCATCGGATTACATCATTTACTTGGAAGCCTTGGCGGCTATGTTTTACATTTCCGGGCCAACTGGGGGTGAGTTCGTCAATTGCAATCGTGGTCAGATTTGCACTGCCATCTTGCGGCAAGGTGGGACTGGTCTACTTCCAGGCGATCGGCTGTCCTTCATGCAAGTCTGCGGATCCGGGGATTTTCTAACTGGGATTCCGGCACCTGGCTACCTGACTACAGAGGACGGCATTTCGTTCCATTCGGAAGACAGAATGGCAATCCTCTCGTCTGAGCCAGGGATGTTCAGGGTGTGTTGGTGCCGCCCAGACCTTTCCATCGGCATGAGCTGCGACAAAGGCAGCGATTTCAATGTGCCTGCCGGCTTGTTCGTAGCAGCCGGTCCTTACTCAAGCCAAGAGCGTGTCTGTGTGAGAGGTCAGCCGTGTGTGGTGACGGACTTGCGAGGTGTCAGCCTGTCAGCCAGTGACAAGCTCGTGGCCCTATCAACCTGCCACCCGTCTTCTGGGGTCTCAGAAAGCTTCCCGGCCCCTACCTTGCGCGAGAGCCAGCTGGATGTGGCCTCAGGAACGTACACCTTTGACCTTGGAGACCTGCCCGTCAGTGGGGTACCAGATGTTGTGCAGCTTTGTTGGTGCGGAGTATCCGATCAGGTTGCCTGTGCGGATCCTTCTGAGTTCACCACGTCCGCAGCAACGCTGTATGTGCAGTGTGCCCCGGGCTGGTACGCGCTTGAGGGGGAGGTGACAATTTGCGCTTTGTGCGCTCCTGGGTTTTACTGCTTAGGAGGATGGCTGGCAGCAATGAAGGCTTGCCCTGCAGGCAGCTTTGCCCCAGCAGGCTCCAACAGCTCCAGCGCTTGCAAGTGCCGAGAGGGCTACCGTGCGGAAGCTGACGATTGTATCCCATGCCCTGCAGGCTCGTACAAAGAAGGCATCGGCAATTCAATCGAGTGTGGTGGAAGGTGTCCGGAAGGAACAACTTCAGACCGGGCAGCATCAAGTCTGTTCCAATGTTATTGCGCAGGCGATAGGATTGACATAAATCCGGAGCCAGGCATGTTTGAATGTACGGATCTGATGGCATTGTCTGGCGACTTCAGCGATACACTGTACGCAGCAACGCGGCAAGATGTTTTTGCATTCACGGCATACATGTCAGTTGTTGATGCTTCCTCAGAGGCCCTGGTGGAAGAGATCTTCGCCGCAATGGCAGTGTATTTGGGGATGGTGTTGGAAGCTAAGCTCTCCCTGGAGGTTCGTTCAGAATTCGATGCCCAGTCGAACACTTGGATTTCGGTTCTAGATGTGACAAGCACGGAGAAGGCTCTTGCACAGCTTGTGCAATCCAAGTTGGGCGCCAACGAGTTTGCTGCTTGGCTCTTTAACGACATGAAGGGGACAGCTTTAGACGGAGCTGTGCCAATCTACCTGGAGCCAATAGAGCTTTGGTCGCTCCAGTGCCCAGAGGGACTGGGCTTTCCGGCTGGTCAACTCATTTCCGGCCTGGCTGACTGCAAGTGCCCACATGGCAGGCAGCCGGCGTCCGCCCTACCCGGTCTCAAAGGGGGCTGTGTGAAATGTCCCTTGGGCCGGTACAAGTCGGCAGTTGCAGACGTTGAGTGTGCACAGTGTCCCACTGGACAGTTTCCTTTGACCACACTGCAGCAGGGCGCTATATCTTACTCTTCCTGTACCTGTTCTGCTGGATATGTGAGCATAGACCCCGCAACCCCCTCTCGTTGCCAAGATTGCGGGCAGGGTTTCTTGTGCCTGGGTGGCGGGCACAGACAGGCATGTGGTCGCTTTCAAACTACGCAAGGCACAAATGCTACAAGCGAGGAGGAGTGCCTTTGTGCAGCTGGATTCTACAACACGCTTGGCGTTTGCAATGCTTGTGAGCCAGGGCGATTCAAGGAAGAAGTTGCAAACACACCTTGCTCAGCATGTAGTGCTGGACGCTTTTCTGGCCCAGGCAAAGTCACATGTGAAGTGTGCCCTGCGGGCCGCTACTCAACCGGCGGCCTGCCAGACTGTGAGGCTTGTCCAGCAGGCCGCTATTCCAGCGCATCCTCTGCAACATCACTTGATGATTGTATGCTGTGCGGGATAGGCAAGTTCAACAATGACACAGGAGCAACGTCTGCTTGGAAGTGTATTGATTGTGTGCAGGGCTCAACTACTGTCGTGACTGGTGCTGAAGGCTTTAGCTTTTGCGTGCGCCCGGATGCTGTCCAGACTCGGGAATGCATCTCAGGCAGAGTTTGCGTTGCTGATGGTGTCACAGGATACAGCTTACAAGATGGCCACCGCATGGCGATAGCCAGGAACGACTGCAGCAAGGCCAAGTCGAAAGTGGCAAATGTTGTGAACAACGGAATTTCCAAGCCCTCCACTACTAATGGCACGCGATATGTGTGGGGTGATTGGTATGCAGACTTCACTCCGCTGGGTGGTTGGTATCATTTGTGCTGGTGTGCCAACATCGACGAGCTCAAATGTGACAATTTGAATGCCAACTTCGTTCTGTCAGCTGGGAGGCTTCTCATCATTGGGCCACTTGCGAATAGTTTCGAGTGCGTCCGGGGCCAGGACTGCGTTGGCCTGCAGCCTTTCAACGGATATAGCTTATCTGCTGCTGACCATGTCCGCATCCAGCGCGATGCGTGTGGGGAAGACGCAGCGATTGTCATTTCGCCAGCTAACATGCAGGGCTTAGGCGGGCTGACGGCGCTTAGCAGCACAGGACGCTTCACGCAGATGATTCTGGGCTTTGGCACCTCCGATGCCGCGGAGAATGACTTTCATCTTCAGATTGATGCAAAAGGGGATGGTTACATGCTGTGCTGGTGTGCCACTGGGGGTGATCCGTCCTTGTGCAGTGAACCTGCCAGCTTTGCAGTTTTTGCTGGCCGCTTGAGGGTACTTGGCCCCAATTCGAACCAAGAGCGAAGATGCGCAGTGGGGCAGCTATGTGCCATCCGTGACATCATGGGCGCAGGGATGCTGCAAGGAGATCGCATGATGATTTTGTCAGATTGTGGGAGGGGAGCTGCGGTTTCTGGTTTTCCGGCCGCTGGCATCTTAGAGACAAGTGATGGAAAAGACTTCGCCTTCATCGGCAATGGGAGCAAGAGGCTGATGTCTGTTCCAGGCTTTTTCAGGATGTGCTTTTGCAGGCCCGGTGTTGAAACTTGCACGGTGCCCAGCTCCTTTCATGCTGGAGCGGGGCTGCTCACAGCCAGCGGGCCTTTCTCTGAGACCACAGTGTGTGATGTGGGCAGCTCCTGCGACGTCACCTTAGCTGGGGTCGGTGTAGCTGTGGGAGACCAGCTTTGGGTGGTGGATGGCCAATGTGGGAACACCTCTGGGATGCTAGAACGAGGCTTTCCCAACCTGACGAAACCTTTCCAGGTGGAAGCTGGCTTGCAAGTTCGCCTCGGAAACCTTCCGTCAGAAGCCAGCCCTGGGCTGTACCGGCTTTGCTGGTGTCCATTCTCGGCCTCCTGTACGTCGCACGAGGCTTTTCGAGCTCCAGGGGGATATTTGCAGGTGCACTGCCCTGCTGGTAGCTTCGCTTTGGAGCTGTCAGAAGGCCAGGGCTTGGCTTGCGGGGCTTAGCACGCTGTGTGTCACAGCCCAGGGCCACATGTTCAATGCGGTCTGGCTTTTTGACTGATAAGACTGTTGAATGAGTGCGAACAGATGAGAATGTTGAAGTGCTAGCAGATTGCCAAATGAGTTCTGAACAGAGGCTAAAAGAGACGAGCAGCGAGTGCGAAAAGGGTGTCAAAGGAGTACTAAACGAGTAGAGGCACAGAGTGTGCTAAGAGGTGTGTTAGAAGAGTTCAAAAAAGCCAAGGCTAAGAGAGTGCTAAGGACATGTTAAAGGAGGTTTTCAAGATTAGAGGCTAAAAGAGTAGAGGCTAAAGTGTGCTAGGAGAGTACGGTGAGTTCGCCACAGACGGATCCAGTCCATTTTAGGCGCTCTTTTGGGTTGACGCTATGAGTGCGCTTCAGAAATTCAAGGGGATTGACAAGAGGATTGCCATAACTCATCCCTGTTCGTTCAGCATTTCTGGGCTGATCACGCGGGAAATGGCCAGGCATGCAATGCGAGCCCTGCACTCGCGGCTACTACTGCCGGGGCGGTGCAGCTGAAAGCGCCAGAAGGATATCCTGCGCCTTCGGGCGGACAACCTTGTCAGGGGGGGCGGCTGCTTGGTACCAACAGAAAGCCAGGGATGTGCTTTGCAAGTCTCACATTTGTACTTGAAGCATTGCCACTATTGTGTGAGTATCGCTGACGGCTTTACAGAACTCAGAGTACCTTTAGTGACTAAGTGGGGTTCAGCTGGTAACTCTGTTCAAGATGCCTTCTCGAGAGAGCATCTCAAGCAGGGCTAGTGATGTAATGACGGAGCGCTGCAAACGGAGGCAAGTTCCGCTCAGGTTGCCATTTCGGCCTGTGTGTGCGATCGCGGTTATAGACTGGACGCAGCTGGGGCTTGCGTTGAATGCAACGTTGGCTTCTACAAATCCTTTGCGGCTGATGAGGCTCATTGTACAGCCTGTCAGGATAACCAGACTACTTACAGGGCAGGCTCGGTTTCGATTGACTCATGCTTTTCGCAATCCAGCCTCTCATCAGCACACACGCTCAATGAAAACAGTTCTGCCGGCTTGCTGATGAAAACTGCGATGCCTGTACCAGCTGTCTCTTTCAACTTGACTTTGTCAAGCTCCGAAACGGATCTGGGGGCGCTTCAGCAGCAGCTGATTGAGGCTTGTTTGCATTTGTTGAGAAAGACCTTGCACATGGTTCGTCATCCGGCTGAACTCCGATTCCTACGCATAGGTGTTGCATGCTGCGTCAGGGTGAGCCAGGTCGTTTCCTGTTGCAAGCTCGGCCTATCGTAAGCCCATATCATATGGTGCTTTTCGGAAACGAAACATGGCTAGTGTGGGGTGCCACTAGCGAGGACCTGTTCATTGCAAGCCTGTCGGCTACTGCTAGATTGGACGCAAGTGCCATCCAGATCGCGTCTTGACAGCACTGGCTGGTAATCCCGGGAAGCGAAGCCAGCTGCGACACCAGCTCAGGACTTCATTCAAGAAAATCGATCTTCGGCGGTTCGGCGTCTTCAAAGCTTTTCCACCGTCGTGTTCACCATTAGGTCGCGCAGCGCCAGCCAAGCCGCAGCAACGGCTGCAGATCTGAGTGCTGCTCAGCTGCTATTAGTTGGGGTGTGGGGTTTCCGTGTGGCAGAAGTGTGCAGCAACAGGAGGCAACAAGAGCTAGCGAAGGCATGTGTTTGTCATCCAGGCACCGGCGGTATCTCGCGAGTTAGCATCAGCAGTTCAACAGCGTTCGCCACTTCGTCTGCAACCAGGGCAAGTGCTGAGTTCTTGACTGGTCAAATCAGCTCAATAGGGTATGTTCGTCGTTTGGAGGTTGCGACATGAGGAATGGTATGAGCGTGTATTGGAAACAATCAGCAATATCCACAGGGAGGGGCTGCTTCTGAAGTGGTAAGCTTCCGAATTGGCAAATGGCAAATGCAGGGTGAATTCCCTCGCCCAAATTGTACGAGGGAAAACTGCACCCAAATTTGTGAGCGATGGGCCACAAGCCACGCAGACGCGGAGGGCCGTGCTCAGGACAGGTCTGGCAGTGAGCAGCGCCTCCATGCCGACCATCACCACTGTGGAAGTCAGCTGCCTGGATGGGCGCTCCATACCACCAGGTGCGGCATATTGAAGTGTTTCTTCACACGTTCTGGAGAGTAATGCCGGACCAGCCAGACACTGAAACACATGAATTGAATTTGTGAAATGAAATAGTGACACGGCCAAGCGATAATTCACTAATCTTGACTCAATTTCAATCATTCACCAAGTTTCACGTTTGGTCACTAAATTGCACTAGCTTTCACTAATTGAAATTTAGTGGAAACTAGTGAAAGTGAATCATTTTCAAATAATGTTCATGAGCGATTTACTAAGTTGCACTAAATGTCACTATTGTCGCTAGTGTTCACTATTTTTCCTAAAGTTCTCTATTTTCAAATTATGTGATTCGCTCACGAAAATTAGTCAACCATGATCAACACTCACTAAATTTCATTAAACAACACTAAACATTACTGAAAATAAGCTAGTGAACTGCTCATGAAAATTCATTCCCCATTGGCTACTTTCATTTGCTTTGTTTTAGATTCCTTATTCCCCTTTCGCTATTTCGTCTGCTAATTTTCGCTGAATACGTATTTTGATGTTTCCAGTTCCTACCTCCCAGCAGCAATCTTAAATCTAGAGCTCTTCCAGAGGGTTGCCTGCTTGCAAACATGCTCACAGGAATCACAATTCTCAGCGAATCAGATTGCCAGTGCAGCATTGGTTTTGGCTATGACCCAGCGACTGCGACATGTGCCTTGTGTGATGTTGGGGCTTACAAGGACGGGGCTTTCTTGCTTGACGCAAAGATCATGTGAGCGCATCGCTTTTGCCAAAACCCAGACTGGGCTAGGGGGAGCATCGCGCGCCAGGACACGGTTGGGAACGGTATTTGTACGAGATGTCCCTTGTTGATGTCGACGATGGAGAATGGTGCGACGTCAGAGCAGCAATGCCAGTGTCAGGCCATGGCGCTCAGCGCATGAAATTACCGCTTTGTTCCCTTTGCTCCTTGCTTTTGCATGCCAGGCTGGACTTTTCCAAGATGGCGGGCAATGCCGGGAATGCAGTGTGGGCTTCTACTGCCCCGGCGGTGGGCAGATGATTCCCTGCCCAGACAACGCCACTACCATTTCGCAGGCCAAGTCGCCGAGCGACTGCGTATGTGCCGCGGGCTACTTCTTTGCCACTTCCAACGGCTCCAGCACTTGCCTCCCATGCGCCCGTCGAAACTACAAGCCCAGCGTTGGCAACAGCGACTGCCCCCTGAGCTGCCCGACCAGTGCGGACAGCGAGCCCGGCTCAGTGGGCCTGGCCGACTGCTTCTGCCAGCCTGGGTACTACGCCAGTGTGAGCAGCACAGGGCAACTGGACAGGTGCATAGGCTGCCACTTCCAGGGCCTGGAGTGCCGGGGTGGCTTTGAGAAGTCGAATGGAACTGTGCGTGTCCATGCCCAGCCCATCGCCCTGTGCCTTGGCTTGCTTTTGAGGTGTTCACAAGCACCCCATCCATATTTGCAAGAGGACGTCACCATGTCTCAGCGGCCTGAGGCCAGGCTATTTTCAAAGTGGCCTCACCACCGCCGTGGTATGTGATGTGTTTACGGCGAATGGGTCCATTTGCCAGGGCGGTGCTGCCTGTGTGGCGCACAGGCTGGACTTTGAAGTCCAGGCAGCTTGTAATGGTGCGTTCGGAGCCTTGGATGCTCACGGGCTGGTTTCAGGGAGAGGTACCAAACTTGTGTAAGGCTTTCTCTGATAGGCAAAGGCATGGACAGAGCAAAGGACAGGGTAAAAGTTGCCGATGCCTCAGGAAATGCTTGTGGAGAAGGCCAGGAGGGCGGGCAGGGATGCGATCCTGCTTCGGAAGGTTCTGCCAGGGAGTCAATCGATGCGGCTGTTTATTTGCACCGGCCAGGCGCAATTGGGATGCTTTGTGGGCAATGCCCCACTGGGTGGTCGCGGGATGACTATCCCCAGCCTTGTGCACCCTGCCCTGCTGATTCAAGCAGTCAGCTCGCAGTGCCTTGCTTCAACTTCTCTATTCAATCCAAGGTGTCCGGCAGAGTTCGTCCGGGGTGGCATGTTGCCAACCGCGCTGAGGTTGGAATTTGGTCCGACGTTCTCCAGAAAACTTCCCTGAACTTTATTGTGGCAGTCATGGCCGCCACTGCGGCTACCAAAGGCAGCCCCAAATTGCATACCAGCATGATCCGCACCTTGGATTCTTCCCGCAATATCTTGTTGCTGTGCGTTGACTGCAAGTGTAACGCCAATGGCCATGCAAGGTATTGGCACCCAGTGGTTGGCAGCCTGTTGCTTGGCTTCTTTTTGTCCGCGCTTTCCGGAATCCTTGCCTGGCCTAGTGCGTTTTTTTCATTCTTAACTCGGCATCATCTAAGGTTCAGTGCTCACAGAATTCAACCTCGGTCGTCTTCCCGTCTTCGGCTGGTCGGAAGAGCAAGAAAGGATGGATCAGCTGAGCAAGTGTGCAGATGAAAACGCCACAGACTGCACCACAGACCAGCAGGCTGGGTCTTTGCACGCTTTGGCCCGGCCGTTGAGTGCGGGTAATCCAAGTGACTAAGTGCAGCTTGGTAGTCTTGTCATGAAGCAGGCAATATGGTGTGTACGTTTGCCCCTACCATCAGGCGAGCAGCTTTCCATGGCCAGATGAAGCTACAGATGCCATGAACACGATTTTCAACGCAATGAGCGTTATGCCAGCAGCCTAGGGAGGGAGGTACGAGGTTTCGGACACCTTGCCATCGGCACGGGATATGCAAGCAGCTTGTCAATTGAGAAGTTCTGCCTCCGAGGAGGTCCTTTGCGAGCGTTGAGTTCTCATCGAAGTGCTTTGCAGAGTCTTTGGCACCTGGCCATGTCCAAGTGATCCCTGGAGCATTGGAATGGGCTATCGGGCTGAGTGACTGGGTTGCTGCAGTGGTAGCCGGAAGCCAAGGAAGCTGGCAGCACCTGGTGTGTACTATCTGGGTAGCCCTCTCATAGCCATGATGGCAATCTTCGGGATATGCGCCCTTGCGGCGTATGCTCTTGTCCCCCTTGCTGGCATGGCGGGCATGTACTTCAACCCCGTGGCGCAGAGGGGGAAGAAGAGAATGAAGGAGATCAAGAGGCTTGCAAATGTTCTGGATTTGCATCAGGTGGGGCTGGAGTGGTCTGACCTTGAAGCGCCGCGGCAGTATGAGATTTGGCTTCTCCATGGTCACTATCGTTTTTCTAGGCAACACTTTCTGACATGTTGCAAACATTCGCTAAGTGGCGAGCACATCAAGCCGGTCAATCATATCAGGAATGCATGAAGCTGCCAAATAAAGGCAAATCCTGTTTTGCTGGCCTATGGGCCCTTGAGTAGGTACTGTGGTCTTTGGGGTGTGTTGAAACAGCAACCTGACATGCCAAACTGTTTGCAGATCACATGCAGGCACACAGCCGCTGTAAGCAACCATTGTCCTCCTTGAGCCCGGCCTTGATCACATTTTGGGCAGCGAAACGACGCAGAAATACATGACATGCAACAAGATGAAACAGTTTTCAATCGAAGTGACAACAGTTGCTGGTTTGTGAAAGCGAGGAGGGTTATAGCAGGCTTGTGCGTCTCAGGCATCCGGCCTGCTTGGTGAGCTGTCACTTTGGACTCTGGAGCACGCAGTCGCAGAACCGGACGACTTTATAACAGGAGCTTGTTGCCAGTGTTGCTGGAAGGCACTTGACTCTGAGCAGGACAGATGGCCTATCGGAAGCCCCTGGCCACTAAGATGTGCATGGGCCCCACTTTTGGCTCTGCTTGGTGGATCAAGAGGTGCTGCAAGAATCTGCAGGGTCATTGGCCACATTTCCGCAAGAATCATCAACACCAAGGCCTGCACAAAGCAAGAGATGAACCTCAACTAGATGCTCGCCTCAAATTGTCTTCACATTTGTCAAGTAGAAGCCGCCTCGCAAGTCTGCACTGGCCTGCGGAGGCTTCTTTGTGTGATGAAGTCCGGCTGAGCTGGGAAGAGTTCTCAGCGAATCCAGACTTGTTGTTCCACAACATCAGTGAAGAGAGCCCTTGGGCAGGATGTGCGGAGTCTGTGACCTGACTGTGAATGACATGTTGAGTGTTTGCCTTGAGGTTTGCACGATGCGATTGTCCTTGGGCTTCTTGGATGGAATGGCCTCGCTTCAGCGTTTTCCTCGGAGCCATATGGAGCTTGCAGCATGACTTCGCTTTCAAGCTGACAGAGGGTAATGTTTGGTGCCTGCTTGCAGCCGAATGTGCAAGATTAAGGGCTGCCCGAGACCCGTTCAACAGAACTGGCACCCACAAACAATTCCAAGCACAGCCCTTCCAAACCCAGCATTCGGCTGGCACTCACATCTCACTCAGGATGAGTCCCAGCTTCCTGGAGACGCTGGCCGCTTGGCCACAGGGAAGGGATGGCCAGGGAGGGTCAGGGAGAGCAGGTGCAGAGCGACAGAAAGGCACTGTTCGCATTAGACGTGTGTTACGTGCCCTGCGGTCAGCCCAAGGTCCTGCGGGCACTCGCCTGGAAGCTGCGCAGCCGGTTGGAGGTGTCGGGCCAGACTTCCTTCGAAGTGGTGCTTGCGGCCTGGCTTGACGAAGCTTGGGGCGCCATAAAACGCTGGAATTTAGCATTTGGAATCGGGGCCTGTTGGTGGCACGAGGTGGTGGCTGCATGTGGCTCTGCGCAGCACCTTTGCAACCTTTCGGCGGCTTGATGGCAATTACTTGGTGCAGCTCCTTCAATGATTCACCCAAAAGTAAGTTCTGGACAGTCAACTGTGAATGGCCCTCAGAAACTGCAGCCGGTAATACGAGCTCCGCCAGCGGAATTTGGAACTTTGCATGCTCACACGCTGGCGTCCTGGAAGGGGAGGGTAAGCAACTTTTGTATTGATCCGTCTCAGGAAACTGGAGATCGAAAGCTGGAGGATTGGTGCCAAGCCATTTGTGAAGAATCCAGGCGCACAACAGTGTTAGCAAATGAGAGTCCATTTTGATGCCGCGAGCCGTTGCTGACCATGCCTGAGCCCAGTGCATCCTCTCGGCTTGAGCTTCCAGTGCCGCGTCCGTATCAGGCTAGCAGCGGAGGAACCACCCAATATGATCGTACCCATGACGAGCAGTTTGAGCAGCCTGAAAACCCCATCCGATTTCACTTCAAACCACGTGGACATCGAAGCTCGCAGGCATGTAGCTCCCAAGGTGGTCTCATGTTTGCACGTTTTCCAGTCCATACCTTGTGTTTGTTTACAGTACTTGTCGCTTGTGCGTACTGGCCGCGCCTGCGAGGAAACCTTGGACTTCGGGTTGTTCACAGCCTTTCCGCGACCACTGCAGCTGTTCCATCAGTGTGTCCCGGTGTTCTGGGTGATGCTTTTGGCAATGTTTCTCAGACGCAAGAAGACTTGCATGTATCAGTGACTTTGAGAACTTGCGGTTGTGATCCATGGCTATGCTTCCACGAGGTGGCCAGACTTGCTGTCAAAGTTTCTGAAGATGATTTGGTGCTCTCGGGTGCCTGAAGACGATGCGCAGGGGCTGTCAACCATGCAGCAACGTTTATTTCCAAATCCCGGGGTGATCTGCTGGAGCAACGATCACTTTCTGATGGCGTTGATTGCGTGTCTCGGGCTTGCGGTGTGGTGCGTTGGCGTGCCCTTCTTGCTCTTCCTACGATTGTGGAGGCTCAAGGACAGGCAGAGCCCAGACAACTTCAGGAGGTATGGATACTTCATCCAAGGCTTTGAAGCACAATTCTGGTGGTGGGACATAGTTGTCAAACGTTTTGACGTTGGTCTGATGAACCTGGTGACGTACACATCGCTGGCAGCGGATGACAAGGCAAAGCTCTTGCTTTTTCCAATACTGTCCGGCGTTCAACTTTGGCTTTGCGCCTGGTGCCAGCCCTTTACAAACTCTCAGAACTCTATCTTGGACGTATTGGAGATGTGCCTCTTGAGCTTTCGCTTTGCCATGTTCAGCTTGGTTTCCATCATGCTGATTTTCCACCCATCAGCAGCAACCACCTACGTCCTATCCGCATTCATCGCACTTCTACTTCTCTTTTTGTGCAGCTACTTTTCGCTGCACGTTGTAGCCCAGTTCCTTCGGGGCTCCGCAGCAGACATGGAAGACAGCGAGGAGGAGAACGAGGGAATGGCTGCCAAAAAAAGGCGGGCACGCGCCTCCATCAACGCCAGGCAGAATGGCTTCATCCTATGGGCAGGCACATCAGTTGCTGTTTGGCAGGGACAGCGCATGATTTTTGAGTATCAAAACCAACGGTGTCAGGCTCACTTAAACGTCGACTGGTGCAACTTGCGCTACCGCTGGTCCAGCAGAGCAAGGATGAGCAGTACTTTGTAAAGCACCATGGCATGCAACATAGCGAAGGTTCGGCAGTCTCGCTTAGCAAGCTGTCAGGTCAAGTGTTTTGTTCTGCCCGTACGGTCCAAGAAGTGGAAAGAAACAAGGAAGGGGCTGACAGGGATGGAGTAAAAGGAGAAGATCAAGAGTGCGCAAGGAAGAGAACATGCAAGGTGAGTTCGAAATCCGGCATGGATGCCTGCGACCTTAGCTGCCTGAGGTGGTCCACTTTTCACAGTGAGTTGCTGCTCGTGACGGCCGCTGAGCGCCACGGGCACGCAGTCAACCACACCCGGCTCGCTTCTTGGCAAGGCCTGCGCCAACGCATGTCCGTTGCTGTTTGACTGTCTCCGTTCCGGGTGCCAAGGTTGCTGCCTTGAAGCGGGCTCGAGCCTGGATGTTACACTTCGGACTGCGGGTCGAGAAGAACACTTTGGCAAAGGCGCGCAGGAAGTCCAGCCATGGCCGTGGTCTGAATTTTCCCTTTGTATTTTGCACAGATCATACCGGGTTCCCGGGCGGCAATCCGGCCCAAAAGAGCAGCACGTTGTTTCCTAGATATGTTTTGCACACAGTCTTGAAATGTTTCTGGCCGAGTTGCCTGCAAATGCCTCAGGCGCTGACCGAATTTGGAGAACTGCGGCTGGATGACGCCGGCCAAAATGAGTTTCCGACAGACATGCTTCACATTGTCTGCGTGCTCACAAGCACGTCGAAGCACGTGCCTGCCAAGACCCCTCTTCCGGAAACAGGGAGACGGTGGAAGCAGCAGGTTCGGGTCTTGCTGCGAAAGGGCCGAGCCCTTCATGAAGAGAACGGGGAGCACTACTGGTACACATCACCCGAAGACATTCTTACAGCAATGCAGCGCTTGCACAAGCTTCCGCCTGAAAGCGTGGTTGACTTGGTGCCATGTCCGCAAAGCAGGCTAGAGCCGTGCAGGCTGCCCAAAACAATACGGTGCCCCCAGTACGTTGGACTCATGGCCACTTGCACTCTGCACAAGTGAAGGGAGGTTTGGTCACTTCACTTTGTGCATGACAGCGCCAAGAGTTCTGTTGTTGGCCTGCGTTGGCATCAAGCTGCTGCAAGCCTTACCCCATGAGGTTGAAATCTAAGGTGGATGCCGTGCAAGTTCTTTTGCACGCGGAAAAACGGCGAATGCAAAAATCAAAGAAGGAGCCGGCAAGCATGTGTAGATAGACACGCTGGCTCAGGCAGGAGATATATATATATATATGTGTGTGTGTGTGAGTGGTGGTTGGTTGGGAGGCGGGTGGGTGAGTGTATGCACTGTCTGCCTTTAGGCCCACATGGCGTCATAATGTGCTTGTGCTTTCATCTTGGCCCTGGCACTAGGATCTCTTTGGCTTTATCGTAAACGCTTCGCGTTGCCCGCCTCGGCCAGTCCGCTTGTGGCTGGCTTTGAGGTATATACTGTGCTTCAGTTTGCCTTGAAGTGGTGTTATTAAAGTGAGTGAGTCGGCGCCGAAATGCGTGAGCTGGTTTCCAAGCTAGCGGTAGCGGGTGGGCGCATGTGCGCACGTTTCCACCTGGCTTCAAGGGCCAGACCGAGAGCCGCAGAGAGCTACAGAATGGTGGGCCAAGTGCAGGTCCAAATTTTTAGGGTATTGGACGGCTTTTTTTGTTGGTTGATTTTGACGGTTTCTAGGGGGATTTGACGGGAGTTGGACCTGTTTTCAGAGGGGAATTGACAGGAGACCTGTTTTCAGAGGGGATTTGACAGGTTTCTAGAAGCGAGTTCGGCTGGTTTCTACGGTTTTTAGGGAGGTTAATTGGCATTTGACCAGTTAACGGGTTTCTAGAAGGATTTGGCCGGAGTGGTGGAGGGGAGGATTTTGACCGGAGCTGGATGGGAAGTTGGCCGGCTTCCATCGCCTTCCAGAAGGGGTTTTCAAGGGGATTTGATCGTTTTTTTTTAGGGAGTTGGACAGGTTTTTGACGTCACTTCAGACAACGGGAGCAGGCCCCAATTTTGGAGTGGGGAAGTTGGGGATGTTTAGAAGATTGTGAAGAGTTTCTGAAGGGGTCTGACCGCTTCCCGGCCCTGCGGGCCGAGGCGAATTACATAGGCTATGCTGTGCCGGGCTATCTTTCGTTTTGCAAGTTGTGAGGGGGGGGTTTTCAATCCTTTTCAGCTCCGGACGTTCCAGGAGCCATGCGCAACTCCTTCTCCGCCGCCTCTGCCTGGTCAAGGCCTTACGCAACGTTCTGTCCCATGGCAAGGCCCTCAAAAATCGCAACCCGCACAACTTCACCTTCCGTGGGTCAAGTGAGGATCTCCACTGAGTGCATGAACATGCTCTCAACGTCCAAATGCAGAGCACATATGTGTTATTGAGACTAATCGAACTGGTGCATCGTACATGTTCCTGCGATTTGTGTCGCGCAACAATTTTGCTCTATCACTTCTTGCATCTCCCAGCATCGGCAAGCATCAGCAAGCGTTGACAAAGCTGGCCAGGTGACCAGCCCAAGCTGCAAAATGAGGATCGATTGAAGAAGGCTGGGCCATGCTGGTGACCTATGACCTATGCCCCTTGTGCAGGTTCTTGGTGCTTTGGCTGGCATGCTACATGCCGACAAGAATGGCGAGTCAATGAACAAATCACCATGAGCAGTCAGCAACATTCTTTCAAGCAAATCTCACAAACATTGACACAGTTTTGCGTGAACCTGCCTGACCAACATGTTTGTCGCGGCTCAGCGTCCCATGCGCTGCACGACAGAAGCGTGGTACGGGGCGTTGAAGGTCTAATAGGCAGAAACTAGGAGCCTGAAGCATCCCATGGCCAGGTAGTGATCAATCAGATTGGAAAGACAGTGGCGGCTTGGCTCGCTGCGATGGTGGGCTTTGTCCTTGCTGTTTCATGCCCAGACCCAACCCTGCTTGGCACACCATGGCATCATAAGGCTGTGCAAACGACAGAAAGCTCATTGGAAATAGGACACGCATGTGGCTTTCCCATGTCTGGGGGGGCACGTTCCTGCCGGCTGTTGGGTGTGTTCTTGTCAACCCTCAAGAGAAGGGACAGCAATGCTGTTAAAAGCCAGAGACGTAAACTTCAATGTAGATGCGACCAACTTCATGTGAGCTGAGTGGGAGTTGGAAAACCTCTCTGTGCATGCTGGCGAGTAGGACCATCACCTTCCTCACTGGCTCGCACGCGCCAGCCTCAGGTGTTGGCGCTGGTGTGCCAAAGCCAAAGCTACTAAACACTAATTCACATTGCGTTTCAAATGCGAAGCACAATTTTTTCGGGGGTGTCAGGGAGCAGAAAGCTGCTTTCCCAGGCGAAGATATTCCTCAAGGCGTTGTGTATTCTCCCTCCACCCAAGGTACCATTTGGAAGAACGTGTTCCCCAAGAGCACAGCGCGGATCCTTCAGATGTCAGGCTGCAGGCGTCAGCAGAGGAAACAGCGAACGAAGCATCGCCCCCATCGCTGGCGTGTCGGTTGCTGGCGCCGCTGACCAGCATGCCAGAGCTCTTCAGCAGGCCTCAGCCAATCAGCACACAAGCAGCTGCGGAATTGCCCATCCGCAATGACTCGAGGGCTCAGAGTCCCGTGTGTCCAAGCTGCGCTTGGCTTCTCACCTGTGGCGGTACAAGCGTTGTGTGAGTGAAAGGGCTCCCATGGCTTCCCCAACAACAATCTGAGCGGACCAATAGAGTTGGCACATTTTTAGAACTGCGTACCTTTTATTTGCTTTTAAAGGGGGGGTGGACAATCTTTGGACAACTTCTTTGTTTAACCGGGTGACCGCATTACGGTGCACGTTTGCAATTTGCCACTTTGGCCTGTATGTCCGCATCATGCTGAGCAGCAATAAGTTTGGGAGACATCAGGCAGCAGCAACAGTCTCGGTCGAGAGGACCCGTCAGGGCCAGGCTCAGGCGGGGGCTGTGCTGCGAGCCTCATGCAGCTTGTCAAACGGGCCAATTGGCAAGAGCATGGAGGGCCAGTTGACGTGGTTTGTATTTTTCTTTGTTTCGCTGAGCCTAAGAAGCTGTGTGTGTGAGAATGTCTGAGCGTTTTGCAATGCAAACTTCACGCGAGTTGATGCCTTTGAAACCCTACCGCGCCTGAACCAATCTCCCGTCCCAAACTGCAACCTCCAAGCCCATTCTGAATTCACACCGGATCGATTCTACACTCGCCCTGAACCAATCCCAAGCCCAGCCTGATCGAATTATCGGACCCAAAAGCCCGACATGAGGCGATGCGCATCTCATGTTGGCGTTTTCGGGTTAGCGTTTGGACCAAGAGTCTTTGCACACTTCTTGGGCCGTTTGGGCGCCAGGACCTTGACATGCTCGCGTTGTGAACTCAACAGGGAAGACTTTAACGCCGGGCTGTTGCCTTGCTTCAACGAAGAATGGGCAAGCGCTTTGCTTTAACAGCGCAAGAAAATACCGAAAATACTCTGAGCTGCATGGGACATGTTGAGCTGAAGCAGGAGGGCACAACCTTGGGCTCATACTGCCAGGGAAGCGCCGCCGCCGCTGAAAGATTTGAGCACCGTGACGGAGACGCGCGCATGCAAACCTTCAGCGCGGCCAGTGGGCATGAGAGGATCATGAGAGGACCGTGAGGGGACCATGAGAGGCCCATGATCCTCGATCATGAGAGGATCGTGAGCGGCCGCAGGCGGCTGCGCAGCCCAATGTGTCCAATCCTTTGCGGAAGATGTTTGTGTTTGGGTGTGTGTGTGTGTGTGTGTG